GGAAATTCTGGGATTGTTGGGGAAAATCCGGGAATTCTGGGGGAAAACCGGGGAATTTGGGGGAAAATCTGGGAATTCTGGGGGAAAATCTGGGAATTCTGGGGGGAAATCTGGGAATTCTGGGGGGAAATTGGGAATTCTGGGGAGAAATTGGGAATTTGGGGGTGAAATTTGGGAATTTTGGGGGGAAAATCCGGGAATTTGGGGGAAAATCCGGGAATTCTGGGGGAAAATCTGGGAATTTGGGGGTGAAATTTGGGAGATTTTGAGGGAAAAATGGGAATTTAGAGGGGGAAAATGGGAATTTTGGAGTTAATTGGGAATTCTGGGGGGAAATTTGGGAGTTTTGGGGGGAAAATCCGGGAATTCTGGGGAGAAATCGGGAATTTGGGGGCAAAATTTGGGAGTTTGGGGGGAATTTTGGGGGAAATTCTGGGAATTTTGGGGGAAAATCCGGGAATTTATGAGGAAATTGGGAATTTGGGGAGGGAAATTTGGGAGTTTCGGGGAGAAAAATGGGAATTTTGGGATAAATCTGGGTGGGAAAATCTGGGATTTTGGGGGAAATCTGGGAATTCTGGGACGGGGGAACGGGATCAGGTAGAGATCAGCTGGAAATCCTGGGATTTTCCCGGAAAATTTGGGGATAATTCCCGCCCAAGCCACCGGGTTTAGGGTGGAAAATTCCGATTCCACGGGTTTTTTTGGGAATTTTTGTCCCTGGAATTCCCGTTTTTCCCTCCCAAGCCGGTGGGCAGAGCCTTCGCCATGGTGGCCAAGAGATCCGACGGGAATTCCTTGGCTTCGGAATGCGTCAAATCCAAGGATGGAGACGAGGAGATCATCAAGGTCCTTCCCCAAAAGTTATCCTGAAATTCCCAAAATTCCCACGGGGAAATTCCCACAAAATTCCCAAGAGATTCCCACAAAATTCCCACGAAATTCCCACAAAATTCCCAAGAAATTCCCACAAAATTCCCACAAAAATCCCAAGAGATTCCCACGAAATTCCCACAAAATTCCCAAGAAATTCCCACAAAATTCCCACAAAATTCCCACAAAATTCCCAAGAAATTCCCAAGAAATTCCCACAAAATTCCCAAGAAATTCCCACAAAATTCCCACAAAATTCCCAAGAAATTCCCACAAAATTCCCAAGAGATTCCTCCAAAAGTTATCCTGAAATTCCATAAAATTCCCACAAAATTCCCAAGAAATTCTCCCCAAAGTTCCCCAGAAATTCCCAAGAAATTCCCAAGAAATTCCCACAAAATTCCCACAAAATTCCCACAAAATTCCCACAAAATTCCCAAGAAATTCCCACAAAAGTTCCCCTGAAATTCCCCA